TGAAATTTCTTTCCGCCTTTTGTTTTTAGATTTAAAAGAACACTTTCCTTCGGGAATATTGTATCCGTAACACTATAACTAACTGACTCGTCTTGCTTCAGCGTTCACTATATTATCAGTGTTACTGCAGACATATTTCGGTTGTATTTTGAAGGATATTGAAATGCTCATTTAGTAAACGGTACCTCCGAAACTTTAAAACGGAACATTCTAACTTTCATCTTATGTTCGGAACATTCTAAATTTCATCTTACGTAGAATCTTGTGTGTTTCTCTAAAAATGTCTGTCAACTCAAGGGTGATAGAAGATTTCAATGGTGCAACATAAATTCATCATTGTTACAGTAATGCTGGGGTAACAATTCTGGGGAATTACCATAGCTGTACCAGGTTTCTGATTAATCCCATACACTTGTGTAGTTACTGTGCTACTGTGCTGCATTCAAACGTGAAGGCGGGTTACCTACATACTTGTTCGGCCCGTAAGGCTCTATGTACTGTACAACTGCAGAAATATTTCGTGGGCTCAATCATCCACCTGTTACCTGGTGCATGCGCTCGTGTTTTGCGGGGTTGTACAATCGTTAACTCCGTGGGGGCCATGATGGTGCCGCACAGCCGTACAAGAGGAAGAAGTAGACAAACCGGCATACACCGGCGTGTTTACGAAAAGCCGTTACGAAATCTTTAGTTTTATGACTTTGCAGATAATTTAAAATCAAAGGATTGTATACATCATAGAAGCACACAACCGGCCCTCACACTAATAAACTAAGTGTTCAACTGCTCAACACTTCTAAGTGTGTAACTGCGAGTTAAATACTTGCAATTGTGCAACTGCAAGTTCAATACTTGCAAGTATACAACTCGGTAGGTGTGCACTTACAAGTGTGCAACTTCTCGGTTGAGCCCTTCCTACACAGTAAGCGTCCAATCTAAGGAAGTGTTCAACCAAGAAGTTGTACACTTGCAAGTGCACACCTACCGAGTTTAACCAGCCCGTAGAAACTCCCACTGTTCCGCTGATACCATCATCGAGCGAGCTCCGCGGAGCCGTATTTTGCAAACGTTATAACAAACGAACGGGAGGGTCTTTAGCTCTGAAACCTTCTCTCTCGTACTCGTAATCATTGTCTTCGTGGCTTAGGAGGGAGGTCATACCTTTACTCTTTCGCAAACTCGCAAATTAAACGATAGTAAAATATGGGTGGTATGAGAAATTTAGCACAAATTTAAGCGCTCGTGTCCGTTCT